CTGGTGGGGCGGGGCCGGCGCTTCGCCCGAGGCTCCCTCACCGTGTGTGATTCCGAGGCTTGGAGTCTGCAGCACCTTCACGGAGGGAGGGCGGGTCCTTTCCAAGATGTGGCTCTTGCCGTAGCGCCGCGCGCGTTCGTGGTAAACGTCTGCAATCTTCTCACGGATGGAGGGCGGATCCTTCTCAAAAAGTGGCTCTCGCCTTAGCGCCGCGTGTTTTCGTTGCAACAGACTGCCATCGTTTCGCGGATGGAGGGTGAGTCCTTTGCAGAATATGGCTCGCGCCTTAGCGCCGCACGCATTCGCCTTAAAAGTTTGCAAGAGTTTCGCGGATGCAGGGCAAGTCCTTTTTCAAAATTTGGCTCTCGCCTCAGCGCCGCGCGCATTCCCCGCAAAAGTTCCAAGAATTCCAGGCGTGGAGGGCGGGCCCTTTTTCCATTGTGCTTTTCGCCTGCTTGCGCCGCGCATTTTCGTTGCGAGAGCTTGCAAGAGTTTGATTCGGGGGTGGACAGAACCCCCAACAGTGACACGTCGATTAGTGAATTGTCCCTTTTCGGTTTTCGAGAGGGCGCCGTGGCCGTTATTTTCCAGGCCTGCGCCCGCCAGGTTTGGGCCTCAGGTCGTTTTCACGAAACCACGTTCTACTAGAGGGGGGTCTGTCCATCCCCGATTGATGGACGGAGGGTGCGTCGTGCTCACGATGTGGTCCTCGCCCCGGCGCCGCGCGCACTCGTCGTAGCAGCTTGCGAGAGCTTCACGGACGGAGGGCGGGCTCTTTTCCAGGATGTGGCCCTCGCCGTGGCGTCGCGCACACTCGTGGTAAAGGCCTCTACGGTAGTTGCACGGGTGGAGGGCTAGTCGTCTTCGAAATGCGGTTCTCGCCCCAGGGCCGCGCGCACTCGCTGCAGAAGCCTGCAGGAGCGCTGCACGGAGGGAGGGCGGAGATCCGTTTCACACTGCTGCTATGATCGCCCCAGGCGCCGCGCGCAGTCCTCGCATAAAAGTTTGCAGGAGCTTCCTGGAGGGAGGGCGAGGCCTTTTTCGGGGTGCGGCTACAAGCGCCGCGCGCACGCCTCGTACAAAAGTCTGCAGGAGCTTCCCGGGTGGAGGGCGGGCCCTCCTTCGGGGTGCGGCTGTCGCCCCAGGGCCGCCCACATATGCGGCGTATCGGTTTGCAGGAGCCTCCCGGGAGGAGGGCGGGCTGTCTCCAGAACGCGGCTCTCGTCCCGGCGCCGCGCGCACTCCTGGTAATTAGGAGTCTGCAGGAGTCTCGCGGGCGGAGTGCGTGCCTCTTCAGGATGTGGTTCTCTCGCCCCGGGGCAGCGCACGTGCGCTGCAACAGTTTGAGAGAGCTTCCCGGATGGAGGGCGTGCCGTTTGCAAAATGTGGTTCCCGCCCCAGCGCCGCGCACATTCGTGAATGGCGTTTGCAAGAATTTCACGGATGGACGGCGTGCTGTTTTCAGGATGTGGTTCTCGCTTTGACGCCGAGCAGCTTCGCCTTAAAGCTCGCAGGAGTTTCACGGATGTGGGCGGGCCGTTTCCTACATGCGGCTCTCGCCCCAGCGCCGCGCACATTCGCCTTAAACGTTTTGCCGAATGTTTGAGGATGGAGGGCAGGTCTTTTTCAATGCGTGGTTCTCGCCGAAGCGCCGCGCGCATTCCTTGTAAAAGTTTGCAAGAGCTTCCCGGATGGAAGGTGGGTGGTTCTCGCCTCAGCGCCGCGCGCATGTATCTGACAAGTTTACACCAGTTTCGCGGGCTCTTATGGTTGACGTGCAGAAAGTGTGTTCGGGAACGATTTTGGATTGTCAGGGCGCATCAGTCACGCGATGCTGGATCGCCAGGACGCAAGAGTAAACTTCATTCGCGGCGTTGAAGTCGAAGGAGTGGTGCTTCGGCAAGATGGGGAACCTCAGACAGCTGTCTTCCAACGGGGCACTTCTAGCAGTGAAAGCACAGTCTCGCAGGGACTGTGAAGAGGGAGTTTGGAGGGAGGGCTTACTTCAACATCGTTGATGCGCCTAGGGTTTACACTGGTCCTCCTCCTCTTCCTCCTCCCCAGGAGCAGGAGGCGGGGCTCTTCCTGCGGAGGAACAAGGAGTCGAAGCGGGCTGGCAGCGTCGCGAGGAAGGAGCGCGAACGCAGGAGGAGGCGTGTGCTGGTGGAGCAGCAGCGCGAGCAGACCCTGGTGGAGGAGAGCGCGCTGGAGGGGGTCCTGCTGGAGAAGCTGAACCGCGAGCCGCTCGAGGAGCAGGCCATCGGCTACAGCGCGTGGAGGACGAGGCGCTACGAGGACGTCATCGTCGGCAACCGCCAGCTGAGGCAGCAGGACTACAGCTCGCGGGCCAAGTCGGCCCAGCGGGAGGCCCTGAAGCAGGACCAGACGCTGCTGGACGAGGCCCTCGAGGACATGCGCGCACAGGGCGAGCGAGAGCGCGCGCGCTACCGCGCCGAGGAGCGGGGCAGGCAATCCAGGCTGAGGGCGCAGCTGAGCGAGGAGTGCGAGGGCATCCTGGAGCTGGTGGCGGGCCTGGCGGAGGCCGCCCTGCACCAGGAGCAGCTCACGGACAAGAGCGAGGTGGACGAGACCCTCTGGCGGGAGTGGATGGCCATGTTCACCGCCAGCGCGCCGGCGCCTCGGTGTCTGCTGAGCACGCGATGGGCTATCACAGATCGCGGTGATATCGGGGGATCGCGTGATCGCCGATCACGGGGTCGGTGCGGCTGGATCACGCCATCGTCCGCGCTGGCATGCGTGATCGAGCCGCGATCGGGGCTGCGATCGAATCACGAGATCGGGTGGCGTTATCGGCCGAGTGATCAGCCAGACACTACCCTGAGATCCGACGTCGTGTGTTCCTCGCAACGTCGGCCCCCAGAGGTCCGGAGATTTTCCCCAGGACGAGTTTGGCATCCTGAATAGTTTTTTGACGCTCCTGGGGCCCGGCGAAGGCCTCCAGAGGCCGCAAATTGCCAAAAACATTCGTCTTGAGTTTCTCGCGACGTCGGAGGTTGTTGGGTGGGTAATTTTCCATACGGGGTCTCCAGAAGTCCCGACCCTTTCCCCAGGGCCGGTTTTTCATCCCGAGCCGTTTTTTTACAATCCCAGGGCCCAGCGAGGGCCTCCAGAGGCCGAAAATTGCCAAAAACATTCGTCTTGAGTTGCTCGCGACGTCGGAGGTTGTTAGGTCATTTTATCACACGGGGTCTCCAGAAGTCCCGACCCTTTCCCCTGGGCATGTTTTTCATCCTGAGGTGTTTCTTTTTAGAGTCCCCGGGCCCAGCGAGGGCCTCCGGAGGCCGAAAATACGTAGCGGAAAACCTCCGTCTTGATTTTTTCAATGCGCTGGGTCTCTGGGTAAGTCAAAAACCCTAATAAGGACGCGCGACTTTGCTCAGGGTACCCTTGCGTCCTTGCTCTTCCTTGCTCTTGCGTCCTTGAGGTTTTCGTCGTCCGCTGCCCCAAAAATCCCAACTTCGGCTCCCAAGGGTCTTGCGTCCTTACCGCGCGTCCTTATTAGGGTTTCTGACTTTAGCGGAAAACCTCCGTCCTGATTTTTTCAAGGCGCTGGGTCTCTGGGTAAGGCCAGTGCCCGCGCCGGGGACGCTGGCCTCCGAGCCGGCGGACATCTACCCGCTGACGGCGCAGCCGCCGGACGCCGCCAGCGCCATCCTTGAGGAGTCAGTGAGGGGAAGCACACACACACAGACATAATGGATTGTCGGCTCCCAGGAATATACAGTCAAAAACCCTAATAAGGACGCGCGATTTTGCTCAGGATACCCTTGCGTCCTTGTTCTTCCTTGCTCTTGCGTTCTTGGGGTTTTCGTCGTCCGCCGCCCCAAAAATCCCAACGTCGGCTTCCAAGGGTCATGCGTCCTTGCCGCGCGTCCTTATTAGGGTTTTTGACTGTAATGGATCGTCGGCTCCCAGGAATGTAGGGGAAGACATCTGGGAAGCGGGGGGGAAGACAAGGCAGCCCAGAAGATGTAGAGGCAGATCTATGGGGAGTCCTGGAACATCTGTGCCTGTTTGTTTGTGTGCCCCTGGGCCCCCTGGGTCGGATTGACCAAAAAGGGGGTCCAGCTGAAAGGGGGTGGTGCAATAGATTTGGGGCAGTCGATTTATGGGGTTGCAGTACATGTGGGGCGTGCAATGCACTCCGGGGCGCAGATGTGTTGCTGGATTTACGACTTGCAACACACTCCTTGCAACACAATTCAATACAAGTCGCCGGCGCAGTGCACCTGCAACACAGCTGCCCCAAATCTATTTTGCACCACCCCCTTCCAGCTGGACCCCCTTTTTCGCCACGAACGAAATGGGTACGGAAAGAATGGGCACAATGCCCAACAGCAGCTCCTGTTCATTTAGAGCAGGACTCGCTGTCCGCGCCGCCGCGGCCCGTGTCCATTCGAGACAGAAGGCCGCCTGCCCAACAGCGGCCGCTGTTGGCTTGGGACAACCTTTGTGGTTGGGCATTGTGCCCATTTTTTCCGTACCCATTTCGGGCTTCCAAGCTTTTGGGCCCCCCCCCCGCTGGAAGGAGGCCGCCCTCCGGGACTACACGGAGGGCCGCGGGCAGTGGGAGCCGCGGAGGCCGCCGGCGCCGGCGGCCCCCGCCGCGCCGGAGGGCGCGCAGGAGGGCGCGGCCCAGGCTGCAGAGATCCAACGCGTGGTGAAAATCGAGACGCCTTCTCGGCAGGCCTCGTCGATCCTCGATCCTCGTCGCTCCTGGATCGTCGAGCGACCCCCCAAAGAAAAGCGCGCCTGGCGCCCCGTCGATCCGCGATGCCTCCTCCCGGGATAGCTCTCGTGTTTTTTTTGTTGCGGTCGCTCTCGGCGTTTGGGAGGCCCCGGCTGGGCCCCAGGGCTGGCAGAGAGTGGCTCGGGCTGAAGAGCCGGCCCTGGGGCAAGGGTCGGGACTTGCCCGGGGGCCCCGCCTCGGAGAAGCCACGGCGTCGGATCTCTGGGGGAGGGCGCCGCGGCCGCGGCCGCGGCGGGGGCCGTGCAGGCCGTGCAGGCCGGGCCGGGCGGCGCGGGAGGGCCTCTCGACGCGGCGGCCGAGGTGCGGGCCGCGCTGGAGGGCGAGGCCGCGGCGCTCAGCTTCGCCTCGCGGCTGAGCGCCGAGGTGGACTTCGTGGGCGGCCGCCCGGTGAACTACCGCCTCGGCGTGGTGGTCGCGTCGATGCTCGAGCGGAGGCACCCGCTGCCGCCGCAGCCCGAGCCGCCGCCCGTGCCAGACGTGCCCCTGAAGCTCGTGCTGACCGGCAAGCCGTTCGCGGGCAAGAAGCTGATCGCCAGTCGCATCGCGCAGAGCTACAACCTGCAGGTCGTCGACGTCAACGAGGTGCTTCGGGAGTGCCTCGCCCTGAGCAGGCGCCCAGACGTCGGCTCGACCGAACCAATAGACATGCTGTCCTTCTCGATGGACGCGGCAGACGAGAAGTGCAGGCAGTGCGAGGAGCAGGGCAACCCGTACGTCCGCCGGTTGCAGCAGCTTGGGTACGAGGCGCAGGACCTTCTCGATGCCGGCGAGGCCATCAGCGACGAGCTCTACGTCGACATGGTGACCACCAAGATCAGGTCCCTCTTCCCAGACCGCCTGCCCAAGCCGAAGCCCTCGCTGGCCGACTCCGCGGCGGCCGAGGAGGCAGCGGCACCCGCGGACGCGGCCGCCCCGGAGCCCGCACTCGAGGAGGAGGGGAGCGACGAGGAGGCGGCCGCCAACGACTGGGCGGAGGGCGGCGTGGCAAACGCCGACGTCACGCGGCTGGCCGCCGCGCCCGCCCCGGCGGCGGCGGAAGAGGCTGCTGCCGCAGCTGACTCGCCCGGCCCCCACGCCGAGGAGGTCTGCGGCTGGGTCCTCGTGGGCCACCCCGAGGGCGCGGAGCAGCTGGGCCTGCTGGAGCGCTTCCTGTCCGGCTGGGTGGAGCCCTCGTGCCGGCCCGCGCCTGAGGCGGAGGTCCGCAAGGCCGAGGCGCCGTCGTCGCCGTCGTCGTCGTCGTCGTCTTCTTCGTCGTCGTCTTCTTCGTCGTCGTCTTCTTCGTCGCCTGTTCGAGGTCTGTGGAATGATTTGCCTCTTCTTCGGCCACTTGGCCTCGAGTCCTGCGTGAGATCCAGGCGTCGCACTTTTTCCGCACCAGGCTTTTCGCCCGGTTTCGGGCCCATCGCAGAACGACCTGGCTCGAAGCATGCAGCAGAAAGTGGGGTGCAGGGCTCCGACCGTGACTCCTCACGATGCTGTGCTTTCTTCGCCACGTCGGACCTCTTCGCAGCCTTCGGCCTCCAGGGGCCCTCACGGGGCCCAGGGGCCGCCAGAAAGCGACCCAGGAGAAAGAGCTGGTCCTGGAGGGAAGACTCGGGGGTCCCTGGACTCCCAGGCATCCTCCACGCAGCCCCCCTTCCTCCTGTGCGCCCGCCCCGCTGGCGCGTTCCGTCGTCGTCTGCCCGCTTCTGCCCTCCTCACCCCCCAGGAGGAAGGAGGAGGAGGAGGAGGAGGAGGAGGAGGAGGAGGAGGAGGAGGAGGAGGAGGAGGAGGAGGAGGAGGAGGAGGAGGAGGAGGAGGAGAAGGATTCTGCCCTCCTCTCCCCCCCCTTCGCCGGGCCGCAGAGCTTGCGAGGGAGCAGCGTGGAGCCATCGTTTTCTGGCAGAGCCTGCGAGAAATCATGCAGGCGGAGATCTGGGGATCCAGAGGTGTTTCGCCGTTCCCACCCTCCGCGGGCCTTCCCAGGGCCCCAGGACTGTCAGGGAACGGCTCAGGATGAGGAACCAGTCTGGGGGGAAGGACCTGCGTGGGATGCCTAGTGGTTGGCACCAACACCAGTAATTATCGGCGGTTGCCTCCACCGAAAGAAGGTGATCCCGATCTCGGTGACGGTGGTAATGTTTGGGCTTCCCAGGTGTCCGAATGGTTACGTAACCAGCATCAAAACGACCTGGGATCGTGCAGATGTTGGTGCCCACTTCCAAGCCTCCAACCAGGGTCCCAGGACGACCAATCCCTCAGGACCTCGATTTTCTCAACACGGGATCTCCGCAAGTCCCAACCCTGGCCCTGGGAGCTAGTCTCGCATCCTGGGCAGTTCTTGGCAGGTCCTGCGGTCTGGCCATGGCCCCCCCGGAGGCCGAAAATGGGAACAACGCCTTCCGTCGTGATTGTTTGTCCGCGACGCGCGTATGTCTGGGGAGCCCGCTTGCTCCAATGCGAAGACCCACTCTTCTGCCGATTTACAGCATCATTTCAATCCGCGGCCTCAAGGGTCCCGACCCCTTCCCCGGGGCGCGGCTTTTCGTCCGGGCTCCATTTTTGATGGACCCCGGACCCCATTCGTCGAGGCAAAACCGCCGGACTGCACAACAAGTCAGATCCTCGGATCTCTGGGGAGAGGCGGCGCTGCTGGCGCCGCGGCCGCCGGAGGAGCCGCCGCCCTTTGCGCTGACGCCTGGCGGCTACGACCTGCACTTCCGCCTGGACGTGAGCGGCGACGAGTCGGT